GCTGCCAGGTCCCTCAGCATTGCTGGTCAGGGGAAGATGTCCCTCTGACCGGAAATTCTGGTATCAGAGGTAAGAATCGGAGCTACCGATACTAGTATTGGTGCACCCCTAGTTGTGACAGTACATAAGCTTATCGAAACAATGCCACAGCAAATGCATATTGTAATCAAAGCTAAAGGCGGTCCAACGAAATATTAGCACGTGTGACTTTTTTTGGCCGGGCAGTATATGAAGAAGACATATACTGCCTACTGAATCAAGCTCATAGGTGGCCCGTTTCATGTTATGGGCCTCTGTATGGGTTGCTATGTTTGCTTCCCGGTTGATGTGTCGCTGCGACATCTCATCTCACTCTACAATTGGCCCCGTCTTTGGCCCCGTCTCATACACGAGCATCCCGTGTCTTATTAGTTGGCTTCAGGCCACCTGCAAGCGTTGCTGTTTCACTTCCTATTTGCAGAGTGCGGTGACTGTACAAGGCACCTTCACATCGGAAGACAAGCTTTGATAATATCACAAGTGCTCTATGAACTTTCCTTTCAGCAGAGGCGTCACCATTTTTCCCCCTCCGCTGTTTCATATATGAATACTTTTCCCGTAGCCGCCCAATATCTGGTTATGTTGCATGTTAATTATTGAAAGCCGAATCCCGGGCAGATATAAAAGACACGAGTGAAAGCAGCTTTGTATTCACTGATGCATCATTACATGTATTTGTTTTTTATATGCATGCCGTGTAAGTGCCGTGAACTTGGCTTGGTATCAGCCTATTGCTGTCCCTGTATAACAGAGGTCACGCTGGGGGAAGGAGAAGCAGCAGAAGAAACCAACCAGTGCAAGGAGCACGCTGATGGGAGAGGGGAGAGCAGAGCGACAGAGAGATGAGGTCATTGATCTGCTTCTTCTTTCACTGTCCCATCACAGGGTGAGTGTGGGAAGAGGTTAGTTAGCATTAGTCCCTCTCACTGGCCCTATTCACCACTAATGGCTATTGCTGCCATTGAAGCTGGCTATCCTGGCTGTGGACTCAAGGAGCGTCACTTCCACAGAGATTTATTTCTAGAATTTCACCTAAACTGCTCAATGAGTAAAACTGAGAGTTTCCGCAGAGGCGAATTTCCACTAATCAGATATTTTGCACAAAAAAAAAAAAGAAAATCAAATTTGCACAATAGTTCTGCTTGTCCCTAGACACGGATATGTCATTTTTCATGTCTACCTAAAAAAAGTGTATTTTTATCATTTTATTTTTCGGGTCCTAATAATAGCCAATAAAAAGATTAAACGAGTAGACAAAACCATTCTCCATTCACCTTAAACCAAGTTGTTCCTGTTCCACCTGTCTTGCCGCGGTGGAGTCTACAAAGGCAACGCTCTAGTATATGTCTTTGCTTTATGTGAGGACGGTACTTAAAAATATTCTTGGCCGTAATTGCATGGAGATGCACAAACAACAACAGGCCGTGTTCTCACATAGAGGACATTTTTGTCACCATGCTCTTTGAACTAGAGCACAGCCGGTATTTAAAGCTGAACCTCAGGCTCAGTAGGGGAGGACTAGGAGCCAATCAGGTGTGCTGCATGCAAAAGTGCTGACAAAGAAGATGCTGATAGGAGAAGAAAGCAGAGGGAGCAGAGGGGCGACCTCATCAGTCTATGGCTGCTCTTTTGTCGTGTCTGCAGGGTTGGGGGTGAAGAGAAGTCACTACTGTATTCCTTCTACGGTCTACACCTGGGGGGTTAGAATGCCCTAGGTGTCACCCAACTGGTTGTGGAGCAAAGGGAGTAGAGGGGTGACATCATCAGTCTATGGCTGCTCTTTTGATCTGTCGGCAGGGTGAGAAGAAGACACCGCTGTAATATTTCTACAGTCTACAGTGGGGGTTTAGAACTTTCCAGGTGTCACCCACCTGGTTGTGGAGCAGAGTGAGCAGAGGGGTGACCCATCAGTCTATGGCTGCTCTTTCATTGTCCAGTCAGCAGTAAGGGGGTGAGAAGAAGACACCACTGTATTCCTTCTACAGTCTACGCCTAGGGGTTTAGAACTTCCCAGATGTCACCCACCTGATTGTGGAGCAGAGTGAGCAGAGTGGTGATCTCATCAGTCTATTGCTGCTCTTTCATTGTCCAGTCTGGTACCAGTATGCCTGGTACCATCTGTACCTGGTTTAGAGCACCCCAGGTGTCACCAGCCTGGTTGTGCCGTGTGGCAGAGCTGTGTAGATCACAGAATTGGATGGGTATTATATCTGTGGAATTAGCCGCTTGTCTCAAGTGTGTTTTGAAGAACATCTGATAAGATCACATAAAGTAAATGCACCCCTAAAGAGTAAGTGCAGTGTGCAGTGGTATCTTGTGGTGCAGGGGTATCTTGTGGTGCAGGTGTATCTTGGTGTTATTATAAAAATTGGCGCCAAGCCTTCCAAAAAAACCTATAAAAATATCTACTTTCTAAAAGTCAATTGTTATTCCTTAGGCGGGGGCCTGGTTAGAGAAACCACGCCCTGGAAGTAGGGGCATTTCAGGGCAGCTTTTCTGACATTTGTAGCATCTGTGTAGGTACACTATTTTTACGCCTTTTTAGTTGATCTTTCTTCTAGTCTGTAATGTGGGAGGTTGCTTCTTGTACTGCCCACATCAGAAGAGCCCATTACCAGGTCTTCACTGACTCCTCATAGTCCTCAAGTCTTCCAGTAATTGTGTTCCGGCATCACAATGCAAGAGGTGGGAACAAGACCGGCCAGCTTGATGGATGGGGATAGATTTTCTGAATGGAAGTTGTTCTAGGACTGGCCCAGATGCAGCACAGCACACTGGCTCTCTGCTCCGCCTCTTTGGGCAGTGGTAGATATCAAGTAAACATGGCAGGTGGTCTGAGGAACCCCGGGGGATCAGCTGAGAGATGCAGGGTGCCTGGTGCCTGCTACGCCCCCAGTAAGCAAGCCGGTCCACAGCAACGATGTGCAGCTCATACCGAAGAAGTACATGTGGGCAAAAAGTGGCTTAAAGAGGCTGGAGGAGATAATCAGCACTGAGATGTAATGAAGGGTGAAAAAAAGGTAAAAAGTGTTTTGTTAAAATAAACATAACAATTGTTTAAATGTTATCCAGTCGGGGTTAACATTAGTTCACCTAAGTTACTCTTGCCATGGAGAGCGTGGGAGATGTTGGCAGCCTTCCATGGACCACATGGTATTAGAGTACAAGGGTAACCTCGTTCAGCATTTTTTTATTCACGTTATCAGATGTCACCCCAGTTAACGTCTAAAGATTCTGATAGCTACCACGGCAGAGATCAGATGAGAACTTGTCCTCCTGGCTGGTTAGTCTCACAATTGAACTTCATTTTTTACCTTGGGCTCAATATCTCCTTCCTGTCACATTAACATTTAAAACTGAAATTGAACCGACTTACACTCCACCGTGTGAATAACATGGCACGTGCAGACGAGGGACTTGGCCTTTAAGAACCCAGCACAAAATACATTTTAGACAATTGTGGACACGTGCCTATCAAACCTTCCTACTGCATATGGCCAAAAGCATGTGGGCACCCTTCGAAATGATGGAGTTCAGGTGTTTCCATTGAAGGGTTAATTGTACAACATGCAAAGACCTTTTAGACAATTGTGGGCTTCCCACCTTGTCATAACAGTTTGGTGAAGACCCTTTTCTGTTCCAGCATGACTGTCCCCTGTGTACGAAGCCATAAAGACAAGGTTTGATGAGTTTGGTGGGGGAGAACTCAAGAGGCTTTTAGAGAACCCTGTGCTCAACCTTACTCAACAACTTTGAGATGAATTGGACCGCCAATTGTGAGTCATATCTGCTCATCCAGCATCGGTACCTGACCTCAACCCTACTGAACAACTCTGGGATGAATTAGAACATCGATTGTGAGTCAGATCTTCTCATACAACATCGGTACCTGAGCTGAACCCTACTGAACAACTTTGAGATGAATTGGCACACCAATTGGGAGTCAGATCTTCTCATCCAACATCAATAGCTGACCTCATCCTTATTGAACACCTCTGGGATGAATTAGAACACCAATTGTGAGTCAGACCTTCTCATCCATCATCGGTACCTGATCTCGACCCTACTGAACACCTTTGGGATGAATTAGACTGCCAATTGTGAGTCAGATCTTCTCATCCAACATCGGTACCTGACCTCAACCTTACTGAACACCTTTGGGATGAATTGGAACACCAATTTGGAGTCAGATTTTCTCACCAAAACATCAGTACCTGTCCTCAACCTTATTGAACACCTTTGAGATGAATTGGAAAACCAACTGGGAGTCAGATCTTCTCATCCAACATCGGTAGCTGACCTCAACCCTACTGAACACCTTTGGGATGAATTGGAACACCAATTGGGAGTCAGATCTTCTCATCCAACATTGGTACCTGACCTCAACCCTACTGAACACCTTTGGGATGAATTGGACTGCCAATTGTGAGCCAGATTTACTCATCCAACATCAGCACCTGACCTCAACCTTACTGAACACCTCCTTAATAGATTAGAACACGGATTGTGAGTCAGATCTTCTCATCCAACATCAGTACCTGACCTCACAAATGCTCTTTTAGCTGAATTGGCAAACATTCCCACCAACACATTTTATTCAAAAGTTGAACTTAACCTTTACCAGTAACCTTTCCTGGAATCACCTGAACTCAACCATTTGGATGGTCGTCCACATACATTTGCCCATTAGCGTGAAATAGATTATATTGGGTTATATTTCCCTGAGTCCGAAACGCCAGGAGCACTTTTATTAAGGCATAAATGACATCTCCTTGCGAAACAAGTTCCCAATGACAGCTCCAAAAACCAGACCTTTATTTATAGATTTGGCAGCCCATCATTTTTCATTTTTTTCCCCCTGCCTTGCATCACTTAATAAAAAAAAAACCTCTTGGGCGGAGAGGAAAAGCCATTGAAAATAGAGAGGAAATGCTGCCATTTGTCCCCTTGTATGGGCAGGTCAGTGGTTAGCATTACAGTGTGCTCTCTCGCCCCCTCTGCTCGGCTCTCTCTCGGAGAAGTACAGTATCTGTTTAGATTTGTGTCTAAATTTAAACACTGATTGCTTCCCCTCCCCTCCTCTCTCTCTCTCTCTCTCTCTCTCGCTCTCTTCAGTTTAGCAGGACTAGTTTAGTGGGGAGGGTCCCAGTTCTGGTATCTCACAGCCTTGGGACAGCATGCTAAGGCAGCCTCAGTGCTCTGAGTGACATCAGGAGCGGAAGCCACCAGGCAGAACGTTTCAGAAGTTTCATAAAAGTTTTTCTGCAGAAGTCTGACATCCGCGGCGCGCACGCTGCACCCCTCTGAAGATACAGGAAATGGAGGTAACTTTTTTCCTAAAATAAAACTTGCACTTTGCCTGCTTTGAGCTTATTTGATGTTGGACGGCGTGAAGAGTGGCGATGGCCGGTACGCTAATACGGCCGGCTTCAACCTTTAAGCTCTGGGCAGCGAGGATAACGAAATACGAATGCTGGACTGGACACTGCTGAGCTTTTTCTTAGATTGCTTCGTACCTGTCACATGGAGGGTGCCGCTACCGAGCTCTCTTTCGGCCAATGCAACCTTCCTGTGTGTCATGCTGAACCACTGACTTCATTACTTTGAGTTGCCGTCCAAGACAAGGTTGCAGATAAGGGCTTTCGATTGTCTCCGGCTTGCATGCATGTTGTAGGTCCCAGCAGGCACTGAAGTCAGAGACAGCCAGGCAGCTAGCATCTTCAGAAAGAATTTGGTAATGGATGCTTCTGCGATCACTTAGGGTTGCTTTAAAGGTGGCAATATGTGGTACAATTGGATTGTATAATCACCGGTAAACTAGGCTTACCAATTTTTGTTATTTGTATCCAGTCAGGCAGGCCCTTGCTCTACATAGTTGTTGGTAGATCTAAGAGTGACCATGCACGGTACAGTCTGACCATACAAACTTTGTACAATCAGATTTACCAAAATTGTGTAGGAGGAGGACCTACCAAATCTATCCAAGCAATTTGTATCCAGACAATACAATCTGACCATACAATGTTTGTACAATCAACTTTAGATTTACCCAAATTGTGTAAAATGAGGACCTACCAAATCTATCCAATCAATTTGTATCCGGTCAGGCAGGCTGTTGCACTACATAGTTGTTGGTAGATCATGACCATGCACATTACAATCTGACCATACTATGTTTGTACAATCAGCTTTAGATTTACCAAAACTGTGTAAGATGAGGACCTACCAAATCTATCCAATCAATTTGTATCCAGTCAGGCAGGACCCTTGTACTACATAGTTGTTGGTAGATCTAAGAGTGACCATGCATGGTACAGTCTGACCATACAAACTTTGTACAATAAGCTTTAGATTTACCAAAATTCTGTAAGATGAAGACCTACCAAAGCTATCCAATCAATTTGTATCCGGTCAGGCAGGGCCCTTGTTCTACATAGTTGTTGTTGTTAGATATAAAGCAGATTGTACAATCCGACTGTAAAGTGTGTGGTGAGCTTAAAGGAGATTATACGTCCAGATTACAACATGTATGGACACCTCAAGGGTCCTAATTTTTTTTTAAAAGGAACACAGATGACCTTGAAGTGCAGTTATTCCTTGCAACCATTCCATAAGGGTTTATTGTAACCACATTAGTGAGACACGTTCTGATTGGTTGCTCTTTGCCTTGTTAGATAAAAGTAATAGCGTCTTTTTAGTAAAACGCGTGGGCTGCAGTAGTCTTCTCTGCCTGAGATCTCGCTAAAGACGGCAGTGTGCTGATTCTGGACATTTTGGGGTTAAATCGTTAGTATCTTCCCATGTCGTAATACCCCCTTGACCCTGTTTGTTTCCCTTTCTACATTTCGAGAGATATTTCTACATGTGGGTACCCTTGTTCTAGTAGCTGTGATGTTTATAGAGGCTGACGCAAGGCGATAAGTCCGATCCTGTTGGGGACAAGTCTGTTTACGTGCTATTCGGTGGATATACTGTTATTTTTTGAATGATGTACACCGCAGATTATACCGGCAACGTGCAGCGACACGGCACTGTACGTGGAATCTGAAAACAATGTGGTATTGATGTGTGACGAGACATAGAGGAGATAAGGAAGGCTCGGTGGGTGCAGAGTGAAGAGAGATCCCCGTGCTGTGTCTGATCGCCTTCAGCATAATATTACTTGTGGTGCAGAGGCGGCTGGCGGGTCCTCCATTGTAGGTCCGTTGTAGGTTCACTGTAGGTCTCTTGTAGGTCCATTGTAGCTATACTGTAGATCCATTGTAGGTTCATTATAGTTCTATTGTAGGTTCATTGTAGGTTTATTGCAGGTCTATTGTAGGTCCACTCTAGGTCCATTGTTGGTCCATTGTCGGTCCACTGTAGATCAATTGTAGGTGCCCTGTAGGTCTATTGTAGGTCCATTGCAGCTATACTGAAGATCCATTGTAGGTTCATTATAGTTCTCTTGTAGGTTCATTGTAGGTTTATTGCAGGTCTATTGTAGGTCCACTCTAGGTCCATTGTTGGTCCACTGTAGATCAATTGTAGGTGCCCTGTAGGTCTATTGTAGGTCCATTGCAGCTATACTGAAGATCTATTGTAGGTTCATTGTAGGTTTATTGTAGGTCCATTGTAGGTTTATTGCAGGTCTATTGTAGGTCCATTGTTGGACCATTGTAGATTCACTGTCAGTCCACTGTAGATCCATTGTAGGTGCACTGTAGGTCTATTGTAGGTCCATTGTAGCTGTACTAAAGATCTAATATAGGTTAATTGTAGCTCCATTTAAGGTCTATTGTAGGCCCATGTAGGTCCATTGTAGGTTTATTGTAGGTCCATTGTAGGTCAATTGTAGGTTCATTGTAGGTCCACTGTAGGTCTATTATAGGTCCACTGTAGGTCTATTATAGGTCCACTGTATGTCTATGGTAGGTCCATTGTAGCTATACTGTAGATCTATTGTAGGTTCATTGTAGTCCTATTGTACTGTAGATTTATTGCAGGTCTATTGTAGGTCCATTGTTGGTCCATTATAGGTCCACTGTAGGTCCATTGTAGGTCCACTGTAGGTCCATTGTAGGTCCACTGTAGGTCCACTGTAGGTCCATTGTAGGTCCACTGTAGGTCTATTTTAGGTGAATTGTAGCTATATTGTAGGTCCATTGTAGGTTTATTGTAGGTCTGTTTTAGGTATTTTGTAGGAATATTGTAGTTTCAATGTAAGTTCATTGTCGGTCTACTGTAGGTCCATTCTCAGTCCACTGTAGGTCTATTGTAGGTCAGTCTGTAGCTATATTGAAGGTCCATTTTAGGTCTGTTGTAGGTACATTGTAGGTTCATTGTAGTTCCATTGTAGGTTCATTGTCAGTCCACTGTAGATCCATGGTTGGTCCATTGTAGGTCTATTGTGGGTCCATTGTAGTTCCACTGTAGGTTCATTGTAGGTCTATTGCAGGACCATTATAGGACAATGGTAGGTCCATTGTAGCTCAATTGTAGGGCCCGGCATACTACTTTCATCAACTTGGAATCAAAGAACATTTTTGAGAACAATGTTCTTAAAACCAGGTGCTCAACCTGGGGCCCTTTGACACCTATTTTAGTGGCCCTTAGGACCCCTGCAGAAAGAGAAGAAAACAACATTTTTTTTCCTAGCAGTTAAATTGTTTGGTTTATTTCTTTCACTCCATCTTACTCTTTCTGAGCCTTCCATTTCTTTTTCTATCTTCATGTTTTTTTTCCTCTGATCTTCTATAATAATTCTTCTTTAGAGAAAAATGAAATGTAACAGTTGTCATTTTTAAGGGGGTTTAATTTACTCATCGTAGAATCTTGTAATACAAAACAAAGAAGCGACATTGTAGAAGATTAAAAATAAATACGTCACCAAATAATACGTCTATGACTTGTTTCCTGTGTCAGAAGGTGGCAGATCCCTTGGTGGCTCCTCCTCCAAACATTACCAGAACCCCATAGAGAGTGCAGCGTCGTTCTCTCCGCTCTTTGTGTTCTTCCTGTAGAAGCTCGGCACCTGTCCGCTGAGAGGCTTCTTCTATATTCGCGGCAATTTCACACTTAAACAACAGAAATAGCTCAGCATCCTGAAAGAACATTCTACCCGATGCAGAAGAGTCCAAGCGGGTCAATGAGCCCTCCATACATGTCCCCCTGTGGAAACCAATGAGTCCTCCGTACATGTCCCCCTGTGGAGGCCAATGAGCCCTCCGTACATGTCCCCCTGTGGAGGCCAACGAGCCCTCCGTACATGTCCCCCTGTGGAGACCAATGAGTCCTCTGTACATGTCCCCCTGTGGAGACCAATGAGCCCTCCGTACATGTCCCCCTGTGGAGACCAATGAGTCCTCCGTACATGTCCCCCTGTGGAGGCCAATGAGACCTCCGTACATGTCCCCCTGTGGAGGCCAACGAGCCCTCCGTACATGTCCCCCTGTGGAGACCAATGAGTCCTCTGTACATGTCCCCCTGTGGAGACCAATGAGCCCTCCGTACATGTCCCCCTGTGGAGACCAATGAGTCCTCCGTACATGTCCCCCTGTGGAGGCCAATGAGCCCTCCGTACATGTCCCCCTGTGGAGGACAATGAGCCCTCCGTACATGTCCCCCTGTGGAGGCCAATGAGTCCTCCGTACATGTCCCCCTGTGGAGACCAATGAGTCCTCCGTACATGTCCCCCTGTGGAGACCAATGAGCCCTCCGTACATGTCCCCCTGTGGAGACCAATGAGTCCTCCGTACATGTCCCCCTGTGGAAACCAATGAGTCCTCCATACATGTCCCCCTGTGGAGGCCAATGACCCCTCCGTACATGTCCCCAGGTGGAGGCCAATGAGCCCTCCGTACATGTCCCCCTGTGGAGACCAATGATGTCCAGTCATCAGCCTTTGTTGTAGAGGTCACTACATGTGAGGACACAGAGGGCTCACATACACATTGGGGGGAATTTATCAGAACTGGAGCAGCTGTGCATGGCAACCAATCGGCTTTTCTGTCTCAATTTCAAGTCTTAACTGTGCAAACTGAAGAGAGACGCTGATTGGTTACCCCGGGCAACTGCTCCAGATTCTGTCTGCTCCAGTTTTGATAAATTCCCCTCATTGAATCTTTCGTTTACCTTTTGTGCAGCGAATTTGGTTATTTCACAGAAATAACCGAAGAGAAACGAGGGGCCCGAATATCCCAAAACATCGTCCTCAGTATGAATGGTGTGCAGGAGAAAAGTCTGAGAATGTTCTTCCAAATCAGCATCTGACCCAGAACTCATAGATTGCTGGAGGGAGGTCAACTATCCAATACATGGCAGGGAGCAGAGAGGCCGAGAGTGT